GTGTTCATTCCATCACTGACAACAAACAATCATTTGGGAAATTTGGCCACACAACACCACATAAACAGAAACCATTGTTTACCTCTTACTTCAGGCAACACAGGAAAAGAATTTTTTTTTTTTTGAACTTAGTAGCAGTTTAAATATGTTTCGTGATTAACATATACCTAGCCCACTTTCCTTTACCCCAATAACAAATTGGGATTACATACATGGTCAAATTTGAGCAACATACAGCATAATAGGAAGAAATGTAAGCAACAACCTGAAAGCATAACAAACATCTCATTTTAAAAACAGCTTTGCAATCAATTTTCTTAATTAATATTTTTAAAATGCTTTGAGGGGATCGCTTCCAGTAAGACTATAGATCCAGCAAAGCACTGAAATTTCTGTGTTACAAACTACGAGCGGAGGACAGAGTGTGCCTGTCATTCAATTGATCTCCTGTCTTAGGGCTTGCATATTATGATTATTAATATTAAATCAGAATAATATATAGCACCAACTGTTTGTGCAGCACTTAACATGAGGGCCAGTACAATACAATTCAATACAGGAGGCAAGATACCAGAGGGCCCTGATTGTTAGAGCTTTACAATATAAAAGGGAGGGTCAAGTGATCACAAAAGGGTAAATAACATGGTGGGGGATAGAGCTATATTGATAACAGTGGAAAATACTATTTTGTTAGGTGAGGGGGTGGGATAGGCATCTCTGAGAAGAAAGGGATCTTCACGGAGTTACTGCCTAAAAGTGGACAAAGTAGGAGCTAGCGAAAAACAGCTGGGGGTAGGGATGTTCGTAGGGATGGGAGAGGCTTTAGAAAAAGTCCAGGAGGACGAAGGGCACGTGGGCGGAGGTGGACAAGGGAGCTTGAGCGCAGGAGGGACGAAGAAAGAGAATGAATTTGGCTGGTATTTTGAGACTCGATTAGTGAGATGTAAAGAATTTAAATATTGGACGAGGCAGGGGGGGTGCACCATCTGGCCAATTGATGAATCTAAAATATATAACCTTATTCAAATATAAAATGTTCATGCTCAGCTGTAATTATTGCCTATTGGAGTGGAATGTACTGCACACAATATGACTGGATACCATTGCAATTATTCACCTTACATCAAAAATGGCTAATAACACCAGACCAAATCAAATACCATAGACCTTTTAGATGAAGTGACGGCATACAGTAAAAAAGTGCACTTAGTTTGATCATAAGCCTAGATCACTTGAATATAAAATCTATGTTAAGGAAATGGACGTTACCCCATGGACAAAACGAATTAGATAGTATAATCTATCTTGCTACGATGTGTAATACGCGTACAGTCACATCCATGGGCTTAAATGTTTGGACTCTCATGATAAGTCCCATACATCAACAAATCCAGACAAAAAATATCTCACTGTCTTGAGGAAAGCTCAAATAATGCACTGTAAAATGCAGTACAGACCCTCTCCAAAAAAGGTGGGGGGGGAGAGAGGAGTGAATATTATACCATGTGCATTCAAAAAAGTGCTCCCAAAGAAAGACCCAAAGAGAAAAAAAAGGAAAACTCTACAAACTCAACATTTTTCCGCTTTTCAAAAAACAGAACTTTGTCAGGAGTGTAAAGGATTAAAATAGGTGACATAGTGGCTTGGAAGTTGTGCTCAGCTGCACATGGTGGCAAAAATGGCACCTATCCTTTGTTTCACCTCTATATAGATAGAGATGACCATCAAAATGGTCAAATCGCACATGGCTCAGTTCCTCAACAGACACCATCTTGTGGACGAAAAAACTTGCACATGCTCAGTACCGTACTTTCTCAGACAGCCATTTTGTGGCCCAAAAAAACACCACAGCAGCACATCAGTCCACACCAAAATAGACACTGGCTGGTGCTCTCAAACACTGTAAATCCGCCCCACTAAGTTAAGGACTAAAATTACAGTTCATTACCATTATATAGCATTTCTAAGGAGCAAAATCAAACAAAAAGTCACAGAATCCCCAATCACACACAAAAGGAGGAAGGTAAATCCTTCAACATCTTGTGTGTTTCTTATAGACTCTGATGAAGATCACATGGACGGTGAAGCGTAACGCGTAGGGCATGGTCGGAGGCAGTTTGAGGAAGTGAGAGGAGCCATACTTTTTACCAGTGCTTGTTATTTTAATATACAATGTAAGAATGTGATTTTTAATAAATATTGTTTTTTTTAATGACTTACAACACTGAATGAGGCATTCTTTCATTTGGGTGAAGGTACTGGCATAAGATGGAATGGAGGATTTCCATTATTAGCTATTATTATCCATTATATGGGAGGAGGAGTGGATAGTCCTTTAGTGATATTTACATTTTATGGTATGTTTTTGGTCATTTATTCACATTATGATTTATGAGCACAGTGGTATCCACCTGTATTGTTTATTATGACGGATTGATATTAATTAGCAGCGTTACATAACTTTGTTTAATTTAATTTATTTAATGGTGAGGAAACAGATGAGGGGGGCACTGATGGTGGAGGACAGACAAAGGGGCACTAATAGTGGTGGACAATGATGGTCAGAAACAGATGAGGGGACACTGAGCGTTGGGGACACTGCTGGCAGGGGACAGATAAGCAGATAAGGGGGCACTGATGGCGAGGGACAGATGAGGAGGACACTGATGGCAGAGAGGATTCTCTGATGAGGGGGACATTGATGAGGATTCTATGATGAGAGGGGGAGGGAATGATGAGAGACACCTGATGAGGAGTCTCTGATGTGGGGAATCACCAATGGCGGGGGGCATTGATGACGGGGTGATGACGCAGGATTGAATGTCCAGTCCTGTGCATAACAGATGAGCATGAAAACTGATGTCAATGTGCATAAAAACTGAGGTAAAGTGATGTGAAATTGAGATGTTAAACTAATATCTCTGCAAGTGAAATCTGCGCAGTTTTCCCATCAGTTTTCATCATCACGTAATGGTGTGAACGAGCCCTTAATTGCAGCTGTGTGCAGCAGCCTGTCAACATCAATGGTAGCCTGAAAGACACATCATCTGTACAGATCTTCATGCACAAATCCAGAGCTATGCCATTCCCTGTATAGGATCATTTATTGGGCAGCTGCTTGGCGCAGTTAATACCTGTGATTCCCTGGGTGCATAAACACAACTGTTTTTGTACAAAGGTACAGGTCTAGGCACCAGTGTGAATGAAGCATTACAGGATGGTTCACTTTGAATTTTTTTTTTAAATAGTGAGTAGCCATAGGGTCACTTTAAAAAACAGAATATTCTAAAGGTAAAAAAAATAAAAAAAATCTGCTCAAAAACAAACCAGTTATCTAATTGGTTCAACTCACCCAAATTATTTCCATGTAAATGCAAAATGTGTGTTTCATGCCAGATTTTATTTTAAATACAGAGCCATTCACAGGCTACATTACATGAGCGCAGAATCTGCTCTCATCATCTTCAGACATGACACATCTCCTGTGGTTACTTTTTATTGTGTCTTTTTAGTACAATGTGTGTTACTTTTCATTTATTTTTTCTCACTTGAAAGTTATTTGAACTAAGTTATAGGATGAAGTATATAACAAAATATAATCTATATTTGCAGGTGTCACATATCAAAACTCACAATGGTGGAGTCCTGGTCCTGGGACAGTGAAGCCAGCAGAGACTCTGGAACTGACCTGTAAAGTGACCGGAGCCTCCCTCACTGACAGCACTAACATGTACTGTGTGAACTGGATCCGACAACCTGAAAGGAAACAGATGAGTGGCTGGGAAGAATATGTTATGAAGCAAGCACAGGTTATGCTAACTCTGTTCAAGGACGACTGACTCTGTCCAGAGATACAAATAAAAGGAGAAGTATTTTTAAAACTCAGTGGAATGAAATGGAAAATCCGGAACATATTATTGTGCGAGACAACACAGTGTATCAAATCAATTAACAGCATGGACATAAACATTTTCCATTCTCCAGTTATGACTAAAGTTATGTAGGCTCTGACAAAGCCACACAGGCTTAACGCGTAAGGGTGTATATTGGAGTGAGTGACATACATATACCGGCATATCGTCTCACCGCTGACGGGTCCATACGGACTACAGTGACAGGACACTATCAGGGGGATGAGAGGGGAGAGAGCATACTGATTCTACCAACAGAGCTTCCACCAGCTGTGGCAGTCATACCATTCATTCCGATACCACTGTCACCTGTAGTGCACCAGGAATGTGCACTCTATTTGTGAGTGTTGCTTTTAATTTTTTCTAATAAATTTTACATATGGGTACACATTATGCTAGCTTATCTCTTTATATATTCGGCGAATCGTTCACATTGGAAATTGTTTACATTGGAACTTTGGAGGACTCATACCTGAAGGATATCCCCAAAACCCAGGGATAATAGGGTTAAAGGCGTGATTAGACTGAAGTTTAGTAGGTCTATACCATCAGGTGAAGGTTCCTCACTAGTGGTGCTTCCAGTCTATGTCTTTCTGAGCACTTGGACGGAAGGGAATTCTTTTAAAACAGCTGATTGAGACTGTTATTTTTGAACATTGTACATGTTATTGTGATGAATGTTTGTTACAATGTCACTTTTATAATGTATTCAGTGAGAAGCCTGATATGTACAGAGAATTTGTTATATTACTTCCAGTATATTATCTATTATCTGTAGAGCTGTCCTATTTACTATATTGTATGTAGGCTGAAATGCTTCAACTGTTTGTTAATGTAACTTTTACACATTGGTTTACTGAAGACAAGATATGTCTGTTGTGCAGATAAAGTTTATGGCCAATTATGCTTAGCTGTGCGACTAGAGATCGAGCCCCCGCCAGCTCTATTAATGAAGATCTGTATGGGTAGTAGCACCACATTTTCTTTCTTTTTTTTCATGGTTATAGAAAAACTCAATTTTAAAAAAAGTGAATTAAAGTTATTACTGGGCAGACATTCCTGCAAATGTAATTGAAATGAATTGGAGTCAATGAGGAAAAAAAACTGAAAGGTGGGGGTAGTTGAGGTGGATAAAGCATAGCACTGGTCAAATGTTGTATTTCCACTTTATATTTCAATGATTTCTAGCTTATTTATATTAATTTCAACAAAATAAACTTACTTTGTGAAGATCACACATATTTAGTTCCTTACATTCTGTGGCCCGTACTCACTATGACCTGTGTGCAGGCAATGCTGTGTCACACATTTCATAGAGCCTGCTTCTGAACTACAGAGGTGCTGAGAGGAGGAGTTCCAGGAGGTGGAGTCACTACAAGAATCACTGCTTGCCGGCAGCAAGGTATCATGTGATATGTAGTGCTTAAAAAAATAAAGTATACAGCCAGAGAAGCTGCAATGCATGCAGGGAATCAAGAAAGTTGTGGAAAGATATGACCAGCAGACAGGCAGAGCTCACAACATGAAAGGTGAATATGCAATTAAGCTTATATTGGATTGTCAAAAATACTATTGTTCGTCTTGGTATTATAATTCTGATGTCATAAAATGAAACTGTATGCTGTGATCATAGAATTATTTTAAATCTGTTTTTAAGTCTTTTAACAGATTTTAAATGGACCCTAGGTGCATTGTTTATGTTTTGATTGTTCTGTATGTGAAAAAGAGCACCTAAAAGTGTTGAGAATAGTCTAGACTCCTAGCTATCGAAAAAGTTTCAGTTCACAAAGCATTTGAGATCCGTTTTGAAAAATCCCAATTGTTGCAAACAGCTTTAAATTACTCTTGGCTTTTTATTTATGGCCTAAAGTTTTTCCAAGCACAAAATTGGATAATTTTGTGGTTAATCTAGGTTCAGTGATATTTAAGCTCATCCATGTTATAGAACAACATTGGCCACACGCCAGGTTCCCAAATTTTTTTTTATTTAGTTCTTCATAACCATGCTGCCTTTTTATGGACTCGAATAACCAATAAAACCATCCCATTTTCAGCCAGGGTTCCTCCAGAGGTTGCCAGAAGTTCTTGTGATATGGGCTGATTGACTTCCAGTTTGATGGTGCCTGCATAGTTCTGTAAATGAGTGATGCAGCTGAGTGGGCGGGGATGGGATGTCTGATCATTACTTTTACAACCCTGAATATGGGTGTGTTGTAACATGTAACATGCTTACGAAAGGTAAACTTATTCTTTAAGGAAGAACTGACGTTATATTATAAAAACTGGAGAAATGCGAGTCTTTAATGATCTCAAGTTCAGTTCCTGGGATATATTAATTTTCTCCAAAAGGAGTGAGCATCGGGATCCTATGAAGATCAAAGCAGTGATGGATTGGCCTGCCCCTAGAAATGTTACAAAAATACTAACCCATTTTTTTGGATTTGCCAACTTATAGAGAAAAATTCAGAAAACATAAGAAATTTCACTAAGGTAATCCCAATTATTGCAGCTAACAAAAACGTTATGCCCTTTCTGTGGTTACCTGAGGCACAGACCTGCCTTTAGTAAGCTGAAGACTCGCTTTTCACTTCTACACCAATATCAGTACATACCAATCTTGGCCTACCTTTTGTTATGGAAGTGGATGCTTATCAGACTCGTTAGAGTTTTTGCTGGCAATTAAGGAAGCCTTTTCCAAATGGAGGCATCTGCTGGAAGGCAGCTTATCATCCTGTAACTGCTTTTCTCACCGATCATAAAAATTTGGAGTTTAATGTGTTGTGCCGAAGAGATTGTCTCTGTTCTTATCCAGGGTAAATTTTATCATGTCTTATCGAAACCTGGGTCAATCTTTTTTTCATTTAGAAGAGATGAACTAATGTCCTTGGGTAGTCATCAACCGTCTAAGATGGCTCATTTTTATGGTTAAGGGGGGGTATCCTCTGCTGAACAACCTGCAGAGCTGACGATTCAAAAAGTCTTTAAACTACATACAGTAGAATTTCCTGACAGAGGAAGTACAGTATACTTTTAAAACTATACTTTCGGTATATACTTTTACTACAACAGGTTTGCCTATAACAATTGTAAACATAGACTCCATCTCTCCTCAAAGCTCTTTTTTTTTTGGTCCCTTCAGTCTGCACTTATTCAGAGAGGAGGACAAGTAAAAAGTCCCTCCCCGCCTTTGTTTTTTTGGCTTGTTGTCCTTATTTTGTAACCCAAGTGAAAAAAAATAGTAAATAAAGTAATGAATGAACGGCATGGGTTTTTTTCTTTCTTTTTTACTTATCAAGCTTATTCACATGTGTGGGGGATTCTCATAATTGTTGTTATTTCTTTATACCTTTTTCTGTGCACAGCTGGTGGTTATCCCGTTTTAGGACTGAAGGAGGCAGATAGAGTTATGTGTGTGCTGTTTCCCTCATATTTGTTATTTAACTGTGCATTGTATCACCAATTATTATTTCACCAATGTTGTCTTCTATGTCTTGATCTATGTTGCTGCCATCTGCTGGCCAGAATTGCATGATGCAATGCCTTTGTTATAGCTTAGTAAGTGTTTTCTCTGCTGGGCGTGCTGGTTTTAGGCAACAAATAAAATAAAGGCCTTGGTTCTGGTCACTTCCTGCATGCAGCCCATTTTTTTTTTTTTTTTTTTTTTTTTTTTTTTTTTGTTTTTTTTTTTTTTTTTTTTTTTTTTTTTTTTTTTTTTTTTTTTTTTTTCTTTTGTTTTTTTGTTTTGTTGTTTATCTGCTATATAGCTGTGTGTGACAGGACATTCATTACCCTGGGCTTGTGACGGCATCAGTTTTTTGACCTTGCAGTTAGCCTCAGGAAAGATATTCGCAGGACAGCATGAATACCTCTACTACCTTACAGTATTTGTATCACTGTTTGTCGCAGTATATTTGGACCAACTAAACCCACGCTGATTTTTCATTCCCGTGTATACGTTGGGATCCATACTCACCTGTACATCTGCCGGTCCGGTCTGCTTCCACTGCTTGGATACAGAAGGTAGGAAGTTACACAGCCATTATTAGATTATTACCATCATTCGCCTTCATGTGGGGACAGAACAGTCAAAAACTGCCTTAAAGTTCCATACCCGCTACAGATTCCTCAGAGTCCAGTACCACACTCAGGAATCTCCCTAGCAACAAGGCCCACTTGCAGCAAATCTGCGCCCGGCTTACAGTGCATGTTCCACAAGCTATGCAGAAGCACTGCACATACGCAGTATCTATAGTGCTCGCTGGGAGTCCTCTCCACAAAACTCGCCAAGCCCCATTCCTAAAGTCCTATATTAACTTTTCCTGCGCATAATAAGAAGTACTGGTTTATGCACGCTCCTTACATTTGCTGTGGCCCGCAAAACCCCAAACACAACCCCGATTCACTCTAAACATCTTAGAAATTTTATCAAAGTGCCCTATCGGAGCCGTGCTGCGATCTTTTCAGACGCCCAATTCAAAACTTTCATTTTCTTAAAGGGACAGCGCACCTTAAGTCAAAATGGCCGAAAAAGGACTTTGCACATTTCCCCGTGATGAACTACAAAAGCAAATACAACCTGATACTGATCGTTATGAAGGGCAGGGCACAGGGAACAAAATCCCACACTTTCCAGCAGAACAAGTCGTACGACCAAGGACGCTCTCTGAAACCGACAGTAAAAGTCATTGTAAATTATCACACACCACGAAAGAATGAGCTATGTGATAACCTGGAGGAGGAACAATGGGGAACGAGGTTTCCTCCTCATGTCCGGACTTAAATCCACCTCAGGTGATGCCACAAGCTTACAAAGTTGCCATCTGGCGGGCTGGACACAGCTCATGAAAGATACAATAAACTGTCCACAAGGTATATAACCTTTCTAAACAGACTCTAATATCGATGAAGTCCCTATCAGAACGCTGCAG